GGAAAAGTTCTGGGCTAGGTAGCCCTTAGTCTGAATGAAGGTGGAATTTGGGGTTTAATGCCCTTGTTGCTCATCTAGAGAGAGTGCATGTTTTTAAGAAAGCGTCTTTCAGATATCCAGTGTAGGTCTCAATGGGGAAGTAGAGTTAAGGACGCCTGGCATAAGCGTGATTGTTGTCTTAAAGCCAAGAAATCAGTGTAATGAACTTTTTAAGTGCTGAACTGCAAATAGTGAAGTGAACATGAAACAAAGTTAACATCAAACAAATAGCAATTCTTGTAATTTGATGCACTGCTTTTTGGTGGTCTAGTCAGCTATTCACAAAGACTGATTTCCAAAATGTGTTTAAAGATGCTTACTAAGAATATAATCATTGCTTTTATGAATAATTTATTTTTCCAAATTTATTTTGGAAGGCCACGTCTGTCCCAAATTTTTCCTACATGGGAGCACGGTTGTGTAATTATTTATCTCACCATCTAACCATTAATCCACAAAGTGGAAACTTCCGACAGTTGTTACTTCAAAGGTCAGTATCAGCACGTCATTTAAAGCCTTTTACTCATGTTACACGTTCTTCCTCTTTTGTATATGTAATTCTTAACTCAGTGGGCAAAGCAGCATATATTAAAAATTGAACTTTAAGTTATGAATTATTAAGGCAGAGATTCATAATGGATATTTAATAACTATATGTGTATTTTATAATATAGAAAAATCATTTTAATATAAAAATAGGACTTAATTCAGTGTTCTGTGGACCCTTTTGAACTGAGAAGAGTGTGTTAGACTGATGCCAATTTATGGGGGAATCTGAAAGACAGTCAACTTTAAAAGTACTGTAAATGTGCATACACTTACTGTACTTGTCCTTGATTGTTTACTTACTTAGAATCATAGAATCATAGAACTCAGTGGGCAAAGCAGCATATATTAAAAATTGAACTTTAAGTTATGAATTATTAAGGCAGAGATTCATAATGGATATTTAATAACTATATGTGTATTTTATAATATAGAAAAATCATTTTAATATAAAAATAGGACTTAATTCAGTGTTCTGTGGACCCTTTTGAACTGAGAAGAGTGTGTTAGACTGATGCCAATTTATGGGGGAATCTGAAAGACAGTCAACTTTAAAAGTACTGTAAATGTGCATACACTTACTGTACTTGTCCTTGATTGTTTACTTACTTAGAATCATAGAATCATAGAATGCTTAGGGTTGGAAGGGACCTCTAGAGATCATCTAGTCCAACCCCCCTGCATACGCAGGGACACCTAGAGCACGTGGCACAGGACTGCATCCAAGCGGGTTTTGAAGATCTCCAGAGAAGGAGACTCCACAACCTCTCTGGGCAGCCTGTTCCAGTGCGCTGTCACCCTCACTTTTTTTTTTCTTAATTTGTTGTTATGTTTTTTTGTTCAGTTACTTTTTGGCAGTAATTGCTTTGTAAAGTTTATTCACAGATTGGCTAGTTGACTTTACATATGTGAGATAGACACCCAAAATACAGAAAGATAAACTTCCTAAATTTTCAGTTACAAAATTTTGGAAGCTTACGGTTAAAAAATGATTAGACTTCATAGCTGACAGAAACGTGAACTATTTTTAAATGGATGCATTTCCTTTTTTTAAAAATCTGGTTGCGTGAGATTTTGAAAGATTAATACACTTATGTTTTTCTTCATGATTCTTTAGAAATGATTTTTTTTTGAGAACTTCTATCTTTTCAAGCTTTAGACTTGCTTTTCATTTTTGGAGTCTCATTTAGGCCACCTGTGGTTAGGAAAAAATGCATTATTAGATTCAAATTTCATGAAAATGTGTTTATCTTAATTGGGATCATTTCCTCTTTGATGGAATGGAAGCTTTTTTTAAAATTGTCCCAAAGCAGATGAGCCTTTTCTTTTTCAAAATGATGATACAAATCATCACTTTTTGTCTTAGGTTCTTTTTTTTTTTAAAAAAAAAAAAAAAAAAAAGGTTGTTTCCTATAGCTTTTAGTTTGAATGAAGGAACCATATTCTTAGTGTTGAGATACCAGAATATTCTCAGTACCCTTTTGAATGTTCTACATCTCATTGTTTTTCCTTTCCCCAGTTTGTGAGTATACTTATTACTTGAGCAATTCCTTAAAGGAAATCCTTGTTGATACTCAGTTTTCTATCACATTCCCAGTTTTGAAGCCAATCCAGTAAAAAACATTCCTTTCCTTATCCTGAAGCCATAAATTTAAGGTTCCTTATATTTTTATTGTTAATATGTATAGAATAGTCTGGAGAGGAGTAATATGAACTATCTAACATCATTTAAGAAAGCTCTTTTGTTTCTCAGCCCACTTTATACTTGGTATTTGGTATATCAACTCCTGAGATTTTTCAATTGCTCAAGTGCTTCTTAATCTGTCACATAACCTCTAATTTATTCTCAGTGGTTATCTTGTATTCATATTATTCCAAATACCAAATTCATTTTTTGAATTGGTATGTAAACTTGCATGTTTTTGACACGGTTGTTGAATAATAGAAAAAATGCCTCACTGCAATGTTATCTTAAATTGTAAATAGTACAAAATCAATTAACTGAATTTGAATTCCAAGTATTTGTATTTATAACTAAATTATGCCTAGTTGTAACTTTAAATGGTGGCATGAAGAATTTGTGAAATAAGTATAAAAAATGAAATAACATTTTTAATATGGTTCATAGGTTCTTAGCATTGCTTTACATAAGTAATATTTTATGTGTTGAGATGTCTAGAGATGATAATGATTTTTGCTTTAATATTTCAGGTGTCAAACAGAGTATGAAAACAGAGATCACGCTGCAAAAGGCGATGAGATTACTCGAAAACAATTTCATGCCTTTGTGCTTTTCTTAGCTGAACTTTACCTTAACCTAGAGGTGAGAAGTAAGCTCTGTATCTGTGTTCATTTTTTAAGCACTAAAATGGAGTATCACTTGAAAGTTTTTTTTTTTTTTTTTTTTTTTAAGGGAAATAGGAAGAAAGTCAAAGAACTTGAGAACAATTTCATAATGTGTGGTACAGAAGCACATAAGCAAAAAAGACAGGAAATATATCAAGATAAATACCGTATAAGAGTTCATACAAATAAGCAAACATAAACCATCTTTTCCAAAAATCTGTGTTTATTCAGATATTTTCTGTTTGCCTTGAAAAATTGGAAAGAACATTTGATATTATCTTTCATTCTGTCCAGTTAAACTACCAGACTTAAACAATATAGGAAGTGTGCAACCTACCAGAAGCAGATCAGGATCAGTAATCCATGTAATTTACTATCCAGGACTTATTAACGAATGCTCGAGTAAGGCGTGGGAATCTTCAAGACAAGCAATTTAAAAATTAGAGACTTTTTTTTTTTTAAATGAACTTTGAGTTCTTGATCTATATGTGAAGCATGAAACCCTGTCAGTTTCTCTCATCTACGATGTGTATGTACACCTTCTTTGGTACACACAAAATTTGAGTCTTATATCCATGAATTCAGTAAGCTCACTTCTTTAGTGTTTTTAAATATATCTGGTTTATTTTTCAATGGTTTGATTTAATTCAGTACTATAAAAATGTTCTCTTTGCATGAGAAAATAAACCAGCGCTATGACCCATTTTTGTTTCTAAGCACACCTTAAAATCTACTTCTCACTTGCAAGAAGTAAAGAGTTTTCCAAAGGGTATTTTTGTTGTTGTTTTGGGAGATTTTTTGTTTGTGTTTTTGGACAAGCTTTGTGGAGTATGAAGTATTTATTTTATAGCACTATTCTATACTTTTCAATTATATAAGGAATGCCTTCTAAAAGCAAGCCATTGTACAGCTGTAGAGAATGCATAATATAGGATGGGAAAGAGCTGGGGTTTACAAGATTTTGGCATGATGTGCACTATTTGCCAGGTGTTTTGCAGCTTTTCTCAAGAACTGATTAACAAAGAAACAAAATACTAGGCATACACTGTTATACTTGTGCAATTTTTATGAGGTTTTAGTCTGTGTTCTAGAATATTGACCATATTTTGTATTTTCTTCCAACTGAAGAGCCCACATATATTAATCACAGACCAAACCATTCAGCTTTTGAGAGGGAAAATGTGACTAAATGAATTTCTATAACATAAGTCTTATTAATGAATTTTTGATCTTTGGCAGATTAAAGGAACAAAGGGACAGGTAACACGAGCAGAAGTTCTTCAAGATGGCCTTGGGGAATTACTAAATGCTCTCTTCTCTAATCCTGTGGACAACAACCTGATATGTGCAGTGAAACTGCTGAAGGTGAGTTTTAAAAGAAGAAAAAAAGTTCTGTAGCTTGTGATTTTTCTAATGCATTGTCTTTCTGAATGAAAGAGGCAAAACACCCTAGCCAACATGAGACACTTGCACTTTTCTCACTTTGCATATAACTCGCATCAGTATCTCCCTCAGTTAATAATAATATAATTAATTTCTTCTGATTATTTAGGAATAATAATGTGATAAATATTTTAAAGGTCAGAACTTCAAATAAATAACAGAAATCTCAGAGAAGAAAAGATCTAAACACTGCCATTTTTTTCATGCCATGAATTCAGACTTTCATGGCAAATTTCAGATGCTTCATGTTGTTCTATTCTTAAGTTGAACGGCCAGAGAATTTTGTTGAACCTTATTTAAATAATATTAACTATCACCTACGGAAAATATTGTTTCTCATGCTTATTTAATTCTTGCAATTTAGGATATGAGGGAGGGAAAAGATATTGAAGGGATAGTTTGCCTGATTGCAGGACCTTCCACGTCTGTTCTATACATGAAGCAAAAGAGCTTTATATTAACAGAAAATGTTTTATTGTATATAGTTGTTAGTGCATCAGTTAAACTGTGTGGTACTAAGGTATGTCTGATTAACTATATGTGGTATCCACACAAATTAAAAAGAATAAATTTACTAATGCATTCTCTTTAGTTGACAGGTTCAGTTTTAGAAGATGCTTGGAAAGAAAAAGGGAAGAATGAAATGGATGAAATGATTCAGAGAATTGAAAATGTTGTGTTGGATGCAAATTGCAGCAGGTAGGAAGATACTGTTCAGCATTTTATTCTTTATTAAACGCCTTACTCTCTTCATGAAGAGTAAGATGACATTTTGTTCATTTCTCACCTATCAAAAATAATGACATATTTTAATCAAATATTTAAAAATCTATTAATAGAGATACACTCAGGATTTCTAACCTTTTTGTCTTGAAATAATTTCTTGGAGCCTAAAGCATTGAAGAGTTATTATCAATACAAAAATACACCAATGGTAATGTATGACAGTTTATACTTTTTCCATCTGAATTTAACTTTAAGGTATGTATAATTCATCATAATCTGGAAGGGCATAAAGGTTTTCATATTTTTTTCTGAACAAATAACTTTTTGGCATAATCTTACTACATGCTGGATAAAAATGTCTGGCTCATATTTGTCTGGATTGCAATCAGCTCTGTAGATGAGGCTGTCTGATTCTGCTGTATTCCATCCTCGGGCTTCTTACAGACTTGTGAAAATCCTCTAGGGTGTTCTGACACTGAGCTGTTATCTTGTTTTATGCCTTATGGAGGGATGTCAACAGTACCTGGTGGCATCTGTGGGTTGTAATCAAGCTGCTCTGCAGGGAAGAACAGGAAGGGCCAAAGTTAGCAATACAAATTTGATGTTTAAACTAATGAGAGAATATCAGTTCCTCTCGCTCCCCACTACCATCCTTTGTAAGAAAAGGATCTGCTCCTCAAATTAACCGTGCTGCAGATTTGATAGCTTGATTTGAAAACTACAGCAATTTCTATTCTGTTTGGGCTTCCTCCTTCACCACAGAGGAAGTGGAGAGGGAAATTACCTCACCCCCTTATATTTCATAATTGAGAGGAAATACATATAAAGAGTCTAGACTCAGACAAGGAAATTTTCTGTAGACTGGACCGAATTTTGTTATTTTTGGATTTTTTTTAATGTATTTTGGTTATTGGTCTTTTTAAAACTGATTTATAACTGTAAATCTGCAGTAATGGTTGTAACAATTGCTAAGCTGTTTTTCTCTTAACACGTTTGGTGATCATTATTTTTATTTTTCTTTCTTTTTTAACTATTCTTTTGAAGTATGGTACCTAAATCATTCATTTTAGATACTGATTTAATGAACAGGTACTTGCAGGATAAGAGAGGTCTGATTTCTTTGCACTAAACATTCGAACTTCTGTACTTTTCTCTGTTTCAGAGATGTGAAACAGATGCTTCTGAAACTAGTAGAGCTCCGATCAAGTAACTGGGGTAGAGTTCATGCAACTTCTCCATATAGAGAAGCTACCCCTGAAAATGACCCAAACTATTTTATGGTAAGAATGTACTCAAAGTTCATTTCCTTAATAAGTACATACAAATCTCTTCTTAAAGTGTCTGAAACCAATACAATTTAAAAGGCATAATTATGTTTAAATTTCTGTCTCTGAAGTGTAATGTATGCCCTGCTCTGGATTAAAATATTGTAAGCATTAGAGGATGTGTACTTAAGTTCATATAGTTCAGAATTTTGGCTATAAACCTCAGCACTTACTGCTGTCTCTCCAGTTAGTCAGAAATTTTCCAGTCTATTTTTTTTGTCCGTTGATAGCCCTTAACAAAAGGGAGATTATTTCTTTGGTGCCGCCTTTGTTTTCTGTTGTCTGAGAACAGTGTGGCATGATATCATTTGAGATAAACACCTGTGACTACCTTTACAATTCTTTGGAAAATAGATATATTTCCTTATTCTTAGAGGTGGTGATTGATGTCATAAGAAATCACTGTAGGAAAGAGGTCATTAAATGACATCTCATTTATGGTCTCATTAAACAGCTTATTTTAAAGCTGTTTAGATGAATTTCATAGGATTTATCTTTTTATATATCACTTAGTCTCCTTTTTACTATGCCAGATTACCAAGAAAAATACCAAGAGCTGCTTGAGAGAGAAGATTTGTTTCCGGACTATGAAGAAAATGGAACAGACTTATCG